AGCTCTCATCTTCCTCAGAGTACACAAGCCCCACAACCACGTCAAGGTAGTGCCTCACTGGGGGATTATTATTATTATTATTATTATTATTATTATTATTATTATTATTATTATTATTATTTTTATTGGATCATCGCGCAGTCAGCCAGATGTTCAGACTGGATTTGGCATTTTGTCTACCTATCGAGTCCTTACCCAGGACCTGGGATAGGCAGATGTGGATGTTTGATGGTATTACAGGTATCGTCGCAGGATGGAAGCAGTTCCTAGTAAGGCCGCCTTTTGCAATTGACTAATAGCGAATTTGTCAATGCCAATGGTGTTCAAGTGGTGCTCCAGTTGTTTTGGGATTGCACCCAAGGAGCCTATTACTATTGGTACTACCCTTGCTTGCTTTTGCCACAATCTTTCTATTTCTATTTGTAGGTCTTTGTATTTTGTTATTTTCTCCAGTTCTTTCTCGTCTATTATTATTATTATTATTATTATTATTATTATTATTATTATTATTCAATTATGTCTGGTTTTTGGAGACTGCCTGGACAGGTGTCTGCTTTATCTTGGCAGGGTTATTCAGAAGTAATTTACTTCTTTTCTAGGACTGAGAGAAAAGGACAGGCCCAAGGTTACCAGCTAGCTTTGTTCCTAAGGCAGGATTAGAACTCATGGACTTCTGGTTCCTAGCCTGAAGCCTTAACCACTACACCAAACTCTTTGCTAGTACTTACATCAGAAAAAATAATGGGCTGTGATCGCTGACAACTTCAAGAATAATTTAAAAAACACCATAGTAATATATAGGTGTTAAACCTTTAAATGGCATTGAGAATTGAAATGTCCACAAACAGCATGCTTTATTAGTTTATACATGCCCTGCAGGAGCACTGAAAATATCTGGTGTTGAACTTTTCCCCCTGGTATTCAGAAGCTGGCAATGATTTTTACTTACTATTATTATTTATTAATTAATTCAATTTATATGATATATTTTGATTGCAAGCCAGCATCCAATTGGGAATAGCCTATTTTAAATATTCACTAAAAATAGGAGCTGTTTTTATGTGGGTTTTTTTTTTTCAGTTTTGAAAGAATAGTTCTCTGAAATGTTGTTCAAGGTCTGCACTATTTTAAAGGAAAGAAGCTGCCAGATAAATGTCAGGGCCTCGCTGTGTTTGGTTTGGATTCTGGAGAGTACTATTCCTGTGGTATGTAAAGCAAGAACTGCATCAAACTCTTATTAAGTGTATATTATTCCTGTGGGACCTGTGGTTTCTTTTGTTATTTCTCAGAACTCTGTTCAAAATATAGTATACAGTCTGTTCATACAATTCTAAACTCTATATTTTTTCCTAGCACAGAGGATTATTTTTCTGCTTTTGAATATAATGATGAAAAAGAAAGCGGGAAATGATTTCTTACAAGGGAATAATTTTGAGTCCAAAATAAATTAACTGAAAGAAGGTCATAGAAGGAAAATTATCCCCCTTCCTCTTCTCCCAGCCTCCTGAAAGGACTGGCTCATCTCAGGACCTACTTTATCTATCTATCTATCTGTTATATTTGTAGGCTTCTCACTGGGGACAATTCTGAGTGGTATACTGATTAAAAACACAAATAACAATCAACACCGTAAAAAAGAGAAAAGATTTGTAAACAGGGAGACAACAAACACAATAAGAGCAAAACAACCCACAGTGAGCCTATGTAACCTTAGCCCAGTGGTGGCGAACCTGTGGCACGCGTGCCAGAGGTGGCACTCTGAGCCCTCTCTATGGGCACACACGCCATCGCCCCAGCCCCGCCTCCCCCCATGGTCCCTCCTCACCAGAAGCCCCCCAGAGCAGAGTCGCCCCTGGGTGTGGCCCATGCGGAACAGCGCAGCCAAGGGCATGGCAGCCGGGCAGCGGGGACAAGACTCCGCCCTTGCACCCCGTTGCACACAGATGATGCTGTGGGGCGTAGGTGGAGGCGTGGCTGCCATGGCACTGCAAGGCTGCCTGGGTGATCTGCGATGGGCCATGGAGGCAGTAGGTGGCCCTGCGGGCTGGCGGGATGGAATGCGACGGGGAGGCAGGTGGGTGGGTGCTGGAGCAGGGCGGTTTTTGGGCACTCAGTGTCTAAAAGGCTCGCCATTATTGCCTTAGCCCAACACCAGGGAAAGTTGGGGCTGTTTGTATCTCTGAGGGGATGCTGTTCCAAAGGGTAGGTGTCATGATGGAAAAGGTACACCTTCCAGGCCCCATCAGATAGCTTTACTTGATAGATGGATCCCAAAGCATGCTAACTCTGTCAGATCATTCTGGATGGGTACATATCACAGGAGAAAAATGAACCTTCAAATAATCAGGCTCAGTGCCTTGAAGGGCTTTTTTAGGTGACAACCAGCACCTTGAATTGCAGCTGGAAACCTGAAACAGAAATATTATATGGGCATATGGAGACACACTCATTAACTGCTGCTGCTGCTGCATTCTAGATCACTGTCTAAAGTAGTAGTATTCAAAGACAGCCCCATGCAGAGTGCATTACAAAAATCCCAATGAGAGGTTGATTGATTAGGAATAGGGCTGATCCAGAAGTCAGTGCAATTGGCACACAAAATGAATCTGTCCAAAGACCTTGCTGCCCACAGCTTTTTCCTGCTCTTTAAACAGGAACAGTGAGTCCAGGACAGCCTCCAAGTTGTTAACTAGTTCTATCAATGGAGTGCTATTCCATCCAGTATGAGGGATGGAAAATCCCTAGGAATGAGAAGTCCATGAACCCAGAATCTAAACATGTACTTCCTCATCCAGACTCCCCCAGCCTTCAGGCAGTTGTATGAGACCTTGTATGAGACCTGGTCAGTCTGAAGACAAAAAATACAAATGAGTATCATTAGTAGGCTAATATCTGACTGTATGTTGGTAGATATGTCACCCAGTAACCTTACATATAAGTTCAACAGAAGGGATAAAGAGCATCAAGCTCTATGGTACCTCACAGTGCAGGGATCTAAAGTGCAACACTCCCCCCCCCCAGCCAATGTCTAAAATCAAACACAGAAGAAGGGAAATTGCATTGCAACACATAACCTTCCACTCTCAATCCTTGCAAGTCAGTCTGGAAGCAAACCATGATCAATGATACTGAAACCTCACTGAGAGATTAAAAACAATTAGGACAGCTGCCTTATCTTCCCAAAGAGATTAAGGCCAACTAATGCCCCAAGCACTGCCCAGCAGTTATACCCCTCAATGAAAGCAAAATGTATGCAATGAGACAGAAACAAATATGATATCTGATGGTACCTTCAAATCGAACTTTTAAACTTTAGTCATTCACCATGCCAAAGAACACATATTTTTAACAATGAAGATTACATTTGAATATGGCAGATAAGGACAATTTAAAAAATTCACCTAAAGTTGAATGCGGCACTCCCCTTCCCTCGGTGCCGTAAGCATATGCTTATTTTGCTGGATGATTAATTCACTTGTGTCCCAGCTCTGCCAAAGATCAAAGGTCAGCAACAAATGCATAGTTTCTTTTTACTGTGACAAACCGGAAGCCTATCCAGATGATGTGATATGAAAGACTGGGCAGGAAAAATTGCCATGAATTGGACAGAGGCTTGCATCTTTCCTCCCGTAAATCTTAACATCCCTTGTCCTATGGTTAAGGAGAGCTTCCATAACATAAGTTTTAATTATTTTTAAAAGCCTGGGTAACTAGAAAGTGAATGGGGAGAAGAGAACTTTATTTTCATAAACTTCTTTAGGGAACTTCGTTTAAAATTCTGTCCAGTGTATTTAAAATTTGTGAGTAAGAATATGATGAGTTTCAGATAATTAATACAGATTAAACAACTTTTATTATATCCATTTCTTATGACTATTTATGGGTTGTCCTTCCTTATCAATTCGTCACAATCTGATTAATCTAATAAGTGAATAAAATATGTAGATTCTTTGCTTGTTTGAGGAATACAATGGGGACTAGGAGGAAAGTGAGAAAGCTAGTCTTGTGTGCTGTTAAAGCATCAGGCTAGAAACTGGGAGTTTAGTCCTGCTGTAGGCACAAAGTCAGCTGGGTGACTCTAAGCCAGTCACTCAGCCCTAGGAAAGAGGCAGTGGCAAACCACTTCCAAAATGAGGGGTCCTTAATGCTCTCTGAGTTTGGTTGTTTTCTTGTAGACATTACATTACATTCCTCACTAGCACTGATGATGTCACCTAATTTTCGTAATGAAACATAGGCAAGGAAACAACCAAGCTCAGAGAGTACCAAGGACCCCTCAACCGTGAGCTACACTGAGCTTTATTGGCATTTTCAAAATCTTGCTAAGAAAATTTCAGGAACTAGTCCAGGCAGTCCCATGAGACAACATTTGACTCGAAGGCACAACAACAACAGGAAAAACAACAACACAAGGAGGAAAGTCCTTTCTAAATAGGTGGCACGAATGGAACCTCTAAATCTTCTGAGAAAACTGATGTAGTAGCTGCATTTCAAAAACAAGATATTAAAAAGAGTCAATAGGTCAGAATATAGCAAAAGTATCGTTAGTATTTATTCACAACAAGCAATGTGTAAAGAAGAAGGAAGATTGATGGAGATAAGCTGATTTCATTGCCAAGGCAACAGAGGCTAAAACATTTGTAAAGTCCAGAACATCCAGGTAACATTTAGAAGTGACTCAGACTAATTTGTGGAACTATAAGGAGGAGATACAGCAAAATCAAAATTGCAAAATTTTGCTTTAATAGCCGGTCTCAATGAAAGTAATTTTAAACATCCTATGGAGTTGATTTCATAATCTGGTCTACCTAGTGTGGCTAATACAAGGCCTTCAGGTTGTGTACATGTACATGGCTTTCTTTAACCTGAATGTTAATGGAGTTGCAGGGATCATGGACAATGATGATCCATCAAGGTTAGAATTATGATTGCATTAAGAAGCTTTTAAAATAACAGCAACAATAATAATTGCATTTACATGTGTTTAAGCTTGTTTATACCTGCATTTTGAAGTCCAGTTTCTGGCATTAGAACATCAAGGGAAGAAGTGGAAAAATCCATGTTATCCCAGTTATCTCTTGGACAGCTGTTGGTAGAAGTGGATGAGCAAACCACTTAACGTACTAGAAAATAAGAAAGGAGAGATAAAATCAAGATAACAGCCATTGTGAAGAATCATATGGTCAGATGATAAGAAAAGTGAATAATTTTATCAAAATAAATGACATTATATTACCATGATTACCTTTTATTCCGTCTCCTTCTCCTGTATTCCAACAGATCCTTTTTTCCTTTAATGATTGGAAACACAATAATTAAATTCTAACAGTTTATTAGAAGAAGTTTATACTATGTTTGAGATGTTTTATAGCTTTTTACTGTAGAAAATAACCCCCTATTCATCCCCCAAAAAACATATTATTTTTTTTCTAACCATGTGCAATGAAAAGGCATCATACCTTTTATATTGTCATGTTTAGCTATTATACACATTTACACATTCTACGATATAGTAATTTAATGCAATCAGTGTTCTCTGTTACAAGATAAATATATATACAACTAAAATAGCTGCAGTACATTTAGAATTCACATTAAATATTTATAGCTCCTCAAAAGGGAATGGCAAACATGCTCCAAATGACTTTTTGTTGTGAGCCAACAAGTTATTGTAGGAGTTTATCTCTTATTGTACTGCTTACTTCTTTGCAGGAAAGTATATAAATCTAGGCCATTCTACTAGGACTGACTTCAGGAACTAGATTAATATTGTGATAAAATTTCTCTGCTGCATGTTTGGTCAATAGCCTGATTTTTTTTGAGGAATAGGACATAGGAGTTTCTTATTAACAAGTAAGAGTTTATATGACAAGGGAAAAATGAACTTGTACTCTTGTGTTACAGATTCAGTGGTTCTTTCCTCTGACTCCGTTGGACGTTCAATAGGCTCAGGTACAACTTCCCGTCCCCTCTTCTCTCTCTCATAAATAAGATTGCCAATTTATGTGTGACAGCCATGTTGGGAGGCAGATAAGTAGCTGTTAATCCCAATTTAAGATTACCTTTCATGATAGCCTTTGAAGGAAATTTGATGAGTCCTTTGAAAATAGGTAATTAAAGAGAACATAGTCTTTATATTATTTTCCCCAATGCTACATTTTTATTATTTAAATTGTGCTTTTGATTTTATTGGTTGAGAATCTGAAAGCTATAGTCTCAACTCATCTGGAAGGCACTATATTGGAGAAGGCTATTCTAGATGGGAGGTCATATTTGCAAATAAAAAAAAACCCTTAGACAGAACATAAAATTTAAACTGTAATATCAGCAAGCTATATTAGATAAACAAAACAAGTAGGGAAGTTTAACATAAAAACTGACAATGGTGTAGCAACAGAGCAGAACAGGATTTGTAAATTAAGCCAGTAAATCCCTGGCCACTTTCCTTGTTCTGTTTTGTGAGTTTGCTAATAATTAGCAGCAAAAAGATTCAGGTCGGCTGAGTGCTTTGGTCCATGTTATAACCTCTTTATTAAAATGCCCCTAGAAATGCCTGTAATTAGAGAAAAATGCTATTCCAAAAGATGTTATATCAACTGATTTATCTTTCCAAATGTAGAAGAAAATGGAGATGATGCTTGAGTGAAGATGGAACTATGTTCTGCCTTAACTATAACTGTAACTCCAATGTTTTTACTGCAGATGGAGATAGTGAGTTCAAGGAGACACTTCCTTTCCTCTATTTTTGGAACGTTATTGACCTGAATTTAAAAGCAGTGTGCTCATTTTAGAATACCTATGAACCGGTGTGGAACATAAGGAATAGCTGTAAGTCGTGATCGACAAATGATTTAGCTAAAAATAACAAGGTAGAGTTCTTAAGAGGTTGTGCTAAGACCCCAAATAAATAGTTTTCAGCAAGGGAGTATAGCTTGGGAGAACAGGAGTAGATTTATCCCTGATCAGCTTTAATCTATGTAAGCATGTGGCCTAAAAGAAGTTCCGAACCACCTTCTCTTTATAGTTAGTTAATTCTTGCCTTATGAAAATCTCTTTTCAGAGTACTGATTATATTGTAATAAGAATATTTACTGCCTTCCAACATGGCCTCTGGTTTTTTGCCTGCCCAGTAGTGCTGTGCACTCACTGAAAATTATTTGAAAAAAGAGCTTTGGACTTCACATGAGTTCACTTCCTCTTTTTGCTGTTCAGTAAAGTAGATCAACTATTAAGGCTGCAGTATTCGCCTGAATGAAATGATGCTGCAGCTGAAAGCACAGAGGCCTGAAAGAAGTCCAAATATTTAATAAGTATTATAGAGGTATTTCATTTGTATGAGGTCCAAAGCATTTCCTCCAAATAATTTTTGAACTATACACAGCCCTGCTAGAAAGCAATCAGGTGTAGCTTGCTACCTAACCCCAACAGGGAAGCCTAATTACTAACCTTGGACTTTAGTCTTTTGTAAGTAGAAGCTGCTTCTGCTCTTCTGTCTGCAAATCTAAAGGTAATTGGACTGGATGCATGATCTTCTCCCTGATTGCCTAGCCTTACCTGGTGAAGGAAAATATACTGAAGTTTTAAAGAGAAAGCAAGTGGGTTCATCTCTCCATTGTATAAAACCTCTCCAATAGATTCTTATGTAGCATATAAGCCTCAGAAGTGCTAAAACATGATTAAAAGAAAACAATTTATTTCCTTTTTTTAACAGATTTGAATTATTCTCTTTGTATCAGTGGCCAAATAGCCAGAAGAAGCTTGAAAATGGTGGCAGTTTATGATATTCCTGCCTGATGAAAGTAATTTAGGTGTAAGACTAGCTCTGCTAGTGAAAAATAATCTCTGTAACAAAGTTGAGTTGTGTGGTCTATTGCTAAATTGAGGGACAGCTTTCCTTATTGAAAGAAGGAGCTGAGAAGAAATTCACATCTCTTGTGCCTCTTGCAGTACTGGGAACAGATAAAACTAAAGAAGAGCCTTTCACCTTCCACACTCAGCCATTATTATTACAGGTAGTCCTTGAGTCATGATGATAACTTGGACCGGAATCTCCTTTGCTAAGCAATACCATCATAAAGCATGATGTTACTTGTATTGGTTAGTGATGACAATCTTGGCAATCCCCTTTGCCTTTGTTAGGCAATCCTATCAGTTGTTAAGCAAGGATCCATCCCAATTCTGGGAGTTGAAGTCCATGAGTCATAAAAGAGCCAAGGTTGCCTACCCCTGGTGTAGTATAATAAGAAAACACAGCCATATAAGATATTTAGAAAAAAGTGACTTAATAGAGCAGATTCATGAAAGGAGTGTTGTGTAAGTGATAACACCAGAGATATCAAAGATGTTATCTACTTTCCATTCATGATTGCCATGGTTCCAGTAATAACTATAATGACCTCAACTTGTAGAGTAAGCACATCTTGTAGAGCAGTGGTTCTCAACCTGTGGGTCGGGACCCCATTTGGGGTCGAATGACCATTTCATGGGGGTCGCCAAACCACGCTGTCCGCCATTTTTTTCCCTTTTCCCTAGCTGTCCTACTCCCTCTTATTGGTGGCCACACCCATTTGGGGGTCACCACAACATGGGGAACTGTATTATGGGGTCACGGCATTAGAAAGGTTGAGAACCACTGTTGTAGAGGTATATCACCAAACCAAATACTTTATTAACAAATTTCTGAATCATATGCAATTAAGAAACATTGGCACCAATTTTATTTGTTAAATTGATCTAGAGAGGACAAGAGTGGAATAATCTTTAAAGAAGAAGACTCTTCCATGAAGAAGAGGACAGTTTTAAATAGATTTCTTTTGGACTGGCACTCTCCACAAAATTACTATAGACTTTTACAAGCATTTAAATTGTGTTCTTGCAATAGATGATAAAATAAAATAAGAGCACTTAGTGTCAAGAAGAATTGTGTGCCAATCTGCAACACCCCTCATAGTGTGTGCCTTGGTGTAAAATTACATTTATGATCTGCATGCTAATGTCTTTCAACAGCAGTACTGAGAATTTTACAACCAGCTGGTTTAACATTCTCTGCCTTCATCAAAGTTTCCATTGTTTGATTATGCTTCAATCAAATACATCAATCTGCAATCTCCTTTTCTTGTGTGATTAAAAATTATACATAGTATAGTCAGTAAAAATAATTCTGCAACAGACTGGCTTCCTGAGTATTGTAATTGATCTTCAAAATATTAACATCACTTAAGAGATATATTTTGACAATGAAGATAACTGAAGTAGTGGATAGTTTCTACCTTTCAGGATCAACTATGAATTAGTAAAGGAATCAGCACTCAGATTCTGCAGACTAGCATTTAGTAGGGGAACAGTGAAGCCTTAGAAAATATATTCATGTGCCAAGATGTGTTTATACTCACAAAGATAAGAATCATGCAGTTACTGATTTTCCCTGTGAAATGCTATGGAGGCAAGATTTGGACCTGCTATGGAGGCAAGATTTGGACCTGCTATGGAGGCAAGATTTGGACCCTCTTAGTCTGATAAAAAGTGTGGGATGCTTTTGAATGTTGGTGTTAAGAAAGATTTTTGAAAACACCGTGGATAGCCCAGAAAATGAAAAGATAATGGAACAAAACAACCAAGAGTTTTCACACTGAGATTATTTTATGATGGACACATTTTGCGAAGACTTAATCTTGAAAAATTATAATGTGAGAAAGGATGGAAGAAAAGAGAATAAGAGGATAACCACCAGCAAAGTGGAATACAAAACTGTTGGGTGCAGTGTTGGAAGACTTGAATGCCTGCTGGTTGACCAATCATCTGGATGTCTCTTAAGTTGTTTCTAAGTGTCTATACCAACTTGATGGAACGTAATCTGTCACAATCAGTTAATCAACCTACCAACCAACTGAAGTAATGTATTGGGGGATATTACCTATAGTAGAATCACCTAACATTGATTCCATGTCTAGCAAGGAACAATTCTAAATGAACAACATAAAGCATTTTGTAGAATCTTAGGGTCAGAAGAAATATTAAAAATAATCTAATCCAAAGTCCTGCTTCATGTAGAATATGCTTTTTAGATCGATGGATAGTTTTGACTCTAAATATCTGTTAATACCTCTTTACATTACCCTGTAGATTTATCAGTGTATTAATTGTGAACATTGAGGTCTTTTTCACATGTATTAATGCCAAGTTAGATCATCCTCATTCCATAATTATGCCTTCCTTTTTTTCTCTATATACACATAACTTAATTTTTCTTCTTGTTACATTTCAAACTTTGATTTCAGCATTGTTCATTATTACATGCTGCTTGAATTTTTTTCTGTTGGCGAAAAGAGTGCTAACGTTAGTTTTCTATCATTTGCATAATTTAATAATTTAATAATCATATTTAATAATCCTCCTAGTGCCTTCAAAAAGGTCATTAATAAAAATGACTCTCCAAACCAATACAGAGTACTCTCTGTTTACAATGTCTCATCTAGTTATAAGTCCATCTAACCCAGTGGTTCTCAACCTTTTTAATGCCGCGACCCCCAACCGATCGTAAGTCGAGGACTACTCAACCGGTCGTAAGTTGAGGACTACTCAATTGGTGCAGCACCGTTTGCAGAATGGGACTTTTGGCAGGCTCAGCATGGCAGAGACAGCCTGGACAATTCCTATTGGCTTTTGAAAGCCAATAGAATTAGACTCTATTCAAGAGAGTCTATTCTACTGGCTTTCAAAAGCCAATAGAATAAAAGGGAGCAGCACAGCTAAGGAAAAGGGGGGAAAAATGGCGGACTGCGTTGTTTGGCGACCCCAGTGAAATGGTCGTTCAACCCCAAATGGGGTCCCGACCCACAGGTTGAGAACCACTGATCTAACCGCTGTATCACCTTACATTTTATGTTTAAGTATATTAGAAATTTATGATTTGTTGAGTTGAAATACGCTATCTCCATGGAATTCTGACTATCAGAAAAGATTAAGTTAGTCTAATATGATTGCTAATTGAGAAATACTCACTGATTTTTAATTGTTGCATTCCTATCCAAGTACTCACTAACATGGTGTTTATTAAGAAGCTCGAATATTTTACCTAGTACAGATGTCAAGCTGAGAAATCTGCAATTTCTGGAATCCTTCTCTTTTTGAAGACAGGGACATATTTGACTCTTTTTAAGACCTCCTCCCAGCCTTGTGGGACCTGATCAGCTCTCTAGGAATTCTGAAATGTAAATGTGGTTCTGTTAGTTCCTTTTGTATTTCCCTGCCCTAATGTCTCACTAAGCTATCGCTTCAGGTTCTTAAGATTGCTCCCACCCCGTCTCCTTCCAGTAAATCCTTTGTTCATCTTGCACATTAACAAATCTCTGCTTTTGACTTGCCTTAGACTTATTTAAATAAAATCTTCCAAAATTGTTTAATTGCTCAGCTGAACTTTCTTGGGGCATTTTGAGTTCTTTCCGGTATTACTGAGATTTCCTTGAATCGGTGAATGGAGGTGTACTTGGCATTTTGAACCATGTCTCTGTGGTAACCAGTACAACCAATGGGAGCAATAGAATGTAGGAGAACTACTTAAGAGCAGACCACGGAGACAAAAGGGTTTGTTCTGGAAAATTTCAGTTTGCAGCATGTGGAAAAGTACGAGAAAGACCTTAAAGCATAACAAAAAAATGTCTATGGAGAATCTCAGTCATCCAGATCATGGTTGTCCCAAAGGTGCTTTTTCAAAAGTCCAGTTGCCTTTTGAAAAAGCACCTTTGGCATCACAATAAATGGTTCTCAAAACAAAGGAAGGTTCTTATGTGAATTGGGCAAAGTAATAATACTAAAGTGGGAAAGGATGTGTAAGGAGAGTACCAAGTGTGGAATGTAAATCATAATTGAAATTGGATGAGCTCTGTAATACTTTGAAGCCATCACATTAAAAAAGGTACATGGCGGATTTCCCCCCTCATTTCTTACAGTATGATCTCAAAAGTAGATATCCACTGGATTTTGAATTTTGTGCTGTGTACATGTGTATGAAGGAGGGAGGAATGGATCTTGAAGCTGTTAGTTAAAAAAAATTCTAAACCTATATTTCTGTCCACATGTCTAAATAGCACTGAAGATGCTATAAAGGTCTTCTGTGTGACTCTCCAGGTGATAAACAACAGTTTGATCTTTTTTTTTTTGTCTTTGAGATATAGCTAACATAAAACTGTTTGTTTGAAGCTTGACACAATGAATAATTAGTTTAAAATGAAAAGAAAGCTTTTGAATTCTCTGTAGCTATTCTGAAGCTTGACAAAAATAAGCTGCTGTTGACAGAGAATGCTACAAATGTTTTTTTAAGTTTTTTTTCTTATAAGTTATCTTTGGAATTAGAAATAAATGCCTAGGAATAGGATGAGAGTTGCTATATTAGCAGTGATAATGATGTGCCATCAAGTTGGTATTAACACCTACTATGGTTTATCTTCAACCTGACATTTGAGTTATCTCGGGTACCTTCATTGCTATTATAATTAAGTCAGTCCTACTTGCTGCTAGTCATCCTCTTCTCTTCATTTTTCCTGGCATTATGGACTTCTCATGAGAGATTTAGCATCACTACTTGTGAAAAAGATCTTGGAATAGTTGATGAATGCAAACTGAATTTGCAAAGCCTTGGTTGTCAAATACTGCAGCAATTATTATTATTAGCCCTTTTTTATTGACCATCTATAGCTATGGGATGGGAACCACTCTGTGTGAGAATCTTTCTAGAAGAGTCTGTTAATATGCTTGTATTTGCAGTAGAATAATCTCTAGTCTTTATCTTAATTCTTTCACATCTTTTGCAGATCAAATTGACTTACACTAGAGGTCACCAAGAACTTGTGTATATTACTTTATTATCTTTGACTTTTATTAGGAAATATAATACAACTTCTGAAATGGAGTGAAAGCACCTTTTGTGCAACATTCACTTAGGGATGTTTAATTGCATTCATGAATGATATATGTAACACTGAATGGAATAGCAGTGACATCTAAATCAAACTCAGAAAAAGGGAGCAAATAGTTGGGGCCATAAAGCCTGCCAAAGTCCTTGATCCTGGCTTGCTTATTTATATATTTTGATTTTTTTTTAAGGCCACCCAACTCTAAGAAGACTCTGGGTGATATACAGGTGGTCTTCAGGTTTTGACCAGTCATTCAGTGCATGTTTAAACTTATAACAGTGCTGAATGAGTGTATTTATGACTGGCTTTCACAATTCTGGCCATCACAGCATCCCTATGGCCACATGATCATGATCTGGACAGTCAGCACCCATCTTGTGATTACAACATCACAGCGCTCATGATTTCCAATATTCCCTGCCAGGAAGTTAGAAGTCACGATCACATGAGGCCCTTGCTTAATGACCGATGTGTTCCTCGTTTACCAGTGGCAACCTGGACTTCTGGAATTGCCTTTGTTAAGCAGTGTGTCAAGTGATATTGCATTTTATGACCACATTGCTTAGCAAAGGCAATTCCAGTCCAAATTGCCAATGTACACTAAGGATTACCTGTAACTGTAATACATGGGATCTAATCAATAGGACCTGGAGAGCATCTACTCTGCCTGAATGCATTGGATGGGCAGAAAGGCAGTCATCAATTGCCAGGCCTTATGCCCTGAAGAGCTTTGTAGATAATGACCAGGACCTTAAATTATACCCAGAAGCCAATTGGTAACCAATGCAACTTGCAGAGTAGCCATGACCCATGGACATAATGGCAAGCCCTTGTTATTGCTTGCACTGCTGCATTTTGAAGCAGCTACAGGTAATCTTCAACTTAGGACCATTTGTTCAGCGACTGTGTGAAATTACAGCAGTGTTGAAAGAAGGAATATACAACCTGTACTTGAAGTTACAATAGCTACAATACCCTTGTGGTTACATGATGAAAATAGGGTGCTTGGCAATTGCCTTCTCTTAACATTAATTTCAGGGATGCTGCAACTGTTCCCTACCAACTTTCTCTCATTCCATCCTGCTGGATCTTGTCCCACAAGAACTGGATCTGTTTCCCACTCATCTAAGTCCCCTTCCTGCACTGCTGGGTTTGGATGGGAAAGGGATCCGGTGAGGACTTGTGGGGACCCAGCTGGGTGAGAAACAGGCCCAAGGCCTATGGGGATCTAGCTGGGCAGAAGCTATGCAAGAAGTGCCTCAGGCAGTGAAGGAGATCCTGGAAGGCTTGGCACAGGCCAAGTGTGAACTGAGAAAATACTGCAGGTCTAGGCATGAAAAAAGTGCAGGCCTGGGCCTGCACCATGTCTCCCAAGTCCTCCCCAAACCCCTGAGATAGCCCATGCTCTGTTTAACAATATGTGCTGTTGCTTAACAATTGCATTGGGGAGAGCTTGTATTGCAGTTAGTGAGCTTTGCAGTCATTCAACGACCGCACTGATCCATCATTATAATTTTTGGCTCAATTATGGTCATACATCAAGGAGTATCAGTATTTATTTATTTATGAAATTTGTGTAACCACTTCTCTCACCAGAAGTGACTGTGGCATACAACTGATCATTATAAAACTGATCATTATAAAAATCTCTATGAAAATATAGGCCATCTTAAAGAGCCATCTTAAATGTCACTATTTTCCTGGGACCCCCATGCCTGATGACACATCTAGGTCCTGTGGGTCTTCCTGACTATTAGCATGGATCGAACTAATACAACTTCATGAGGTGGGGGGAGAGAATGTTCTATAATGTGGGCACTATGGCATATTTGGTGGGACCTCCTGGGAGCCATCAATTGTATATCCCATGCAGATGGAATCCATAGCATGCTCTCTCTGAGGGAACTAATAGGATGGGGCTGTGTATTTGGGGCGAGGCAGTCCCTCAGATTACTAGATCCCATGCCATGAAGGGCTTTAAAGGTCAGAATCATCCCCTTGAACTGGACCCAGAAACAAATTGGCAGCCAGTGCAGCTTGTGGAGCAGAGGAGTGACATTCTGGGGGCAGAGAAAGCTTCCTGATCTACAAATATGTGCAATTGGCACACAACACAAAGCTGTGTGAAGATCCCACCACTTGCTCTTCTAGCAGGAGTCATGAGTCTAGGAAGTCCACCATATTGCAGACCTGGTCTGTATGGAGCAATGCCACTCATCCAGCACAAAAGATGGTATGAGCCTAGAACCAATGTGGCCAAACCCAAAGCCACCTAATCTTGCCAGGGTTCAGCTGTAACTTGTTATTTTGCACACAGATCCCCACAGCCTATAAGCCTGGGATAAGTCTTCTATAGAGCATTGCTTAATTTCCCAGGAGCAGAGAAGTATAGTTGAGTATCATCACCACGCTGATGATACTTTACTCCATGGTGACAGATGAGCTCACTCAGTGGCTTCATGTAGTTGTTGAATAGAAGTAGAAAGAGCACCAACCACTACAGAACCCACAATGTAGGGGCCAAGGGTGGGACCTCTTTTCCCCTACCACTATCAACTGGAATCAGTCTTGGAGAAAGGAGGCAAACCAGCAAAGCACTGTGCTGCACATGTCCAATTCTCTGAGTCAATCCAGAACGATACCATGGTCGATGATATTGAAAGCTGCTAAGAGGTCAAATAGGGCGAGAATGGATGGATAACCTTTATCCCATTAGGCAAAAGATCATCCAGGGGTGCCAAAAGGACATAGATTGGAGGGGGGAATAGGCAGGTGGGGTAAATTAAAGCATTCCTGTGGTCATAAATTTGGATGGACTTGAATTTTGATCATGTGACTATGGGACACTGCAATGGCTCTTAACTTCAGGCTTGGGTCGTAAGTCCCTTTGTTCAGTGCTTTCATAACTCCGAATGATTGCTGAATGAATGATTGTAAGTTGAGGACTAGCTGTATGTAAGCAAAGGCAGGGAGAGAAAACAAGGAAATGAGACCGTTACTATGGTACAATATAAACAAAGTTAAATGTAGACAGCATGTTTTGTTGTACCTAGAATATTTCATTTTTAAAATTCTTAATGCCTCCAAATATTTATGACATACATGGTCCTATGAAATAAGCAATAGACATTTCAGAAAATAATAACTAACTGTTTGAAACTTTACCATAATATTATGTTTAAAATGTAGCATGTAATTGACTATACTTATTTTATTCTAAGAAAGCATGAGAGATTGGATTTATCTGGATTGGAACCAGTGTCAAGGAAAGTGGAATGACAAAGTATTAAAT